CCTTCCTGTTTCTCTTTGACTTCAGAATCATCATTGCTTGCCATCTTGAACTGAGCAATCTGAAAAGCAAAGGGTCCCCGAAGCTGTTCATACCAGGACGTAACATGAGGGACCTGCCAGAAAATGGCACCTTCCTCACCCAGACTCCAGAGACTCCTATTTAGAAATCAGGAGGTCTCAGGACCAGCAGACGGTGTAATGGCTATGTAGCTGGACTCCCACACAGTCAACTGCGGTTTGAGTCCCAGAACTGGCAGCTTAAAACTCAAGCTGGGTGTGTGTGTGCCCAGAATTCCAAGAGGAGAATGGAGGAAAAGGGATTGCAGTGTGGCCATCGCACCTGGTGAGGTGATTTCTCACTTTCTGTCTCTCTGTCTCTCTTCTCTCTGGTGAGAGCACATGCCCTATAACAAAAAAACCTCTCTTAAAAAAAAAAATAAAAGTAGAAGTCAAGAGGCCTGGGGACCGCTGACTCAGCCACAAGCTAATTTTGGAATCTGGTTGTCTATCTCTCTGTATCTCCATTTTCCTCATGACTGAGAGATAAATAAGCCTTCCGCATTGGGTGGTGGAGCATTTGTGAGCTTTACAACTCTGTGAAAGTAGAAAGAGTGACCATTATCATCTTGTGATCCATGTCCTAATCATCATCATCACCACTTTCATCGTCTTCACAACCATCACCAGCACTGTCTTGGCTACCATCACCATTATCATAACCGTGTCATCGCCATCACTATGAAGACCATCATTGTCACCACCACCACCATCATTATCGCCAGCATCACCATTGTCATCATCTTCATCACTATTACTATCATCGTAACCATAGCACCATCATTATCATGACAATCACTGTCATCAGCAACGTCACCACATCACCATATCCTCACTGTCACCTCCACCGTTCTCACATCACATCATCATCACAACCGTATCATCAGCAGCATCGTTATCATGACCATCAATCACTGCCATCGCCATCACCATCACGAACATCACCATCATCTTCGTCATTAGCCATCATCATTGCTGTTGTTCAGGATTACTCAATACATGTTTTAAATGCTCCTCTTCCTCTTCCTTCTTCTCCTTAAATAAATCGCATCTGTCTGTCCTTGAGTCTCAAATATGAGCAGACATCAGAATCCCTGGAGGGCTTAATAGAACACAGAGCACCGGGGCCTGCCCCAGGACTTCTAATTCAGTGGGAATGAGATGAAACTTGAGAACTGCGTTTCTCTCAAGTTCCTAAGTAATAGTTTGACTGTATTCCCCCAAAATCCATGTGTTGAGCCATTGGAATGGGATCATAAGGAAGAAGACTTGGGGCCAATAGGTGACATGATGGTTAAGGTGGCTGGACTCTCATATGGCTGATTATGGTTCAAGTCCTGGATCTGGCAGCTTGAAAATCATGCCAGGCATGTGTGTGTGTGCCCAAAATTCCAGGAGCAGAATGGAGGAAAATGGATTACAGTGTGGCCCTCCCCTCTGAGGGGTGATTTCTCACTTTCCCTCTCACTGTCTCTCTGTTTCTCTCTAGCGAGCGCATGCACCCTAAGGCAAAAATCCCTTTTTAAAAAAAAGAGGGTGAAGACTTGATCCAATTGTTGGGTTGAGAAGTGAAGCCTTTGGGAAGACTAGGATTAAGGTTGTCAGGACTGGGCCTCCTATGATTGAGTTGTAGTGTGTTTACAGGAAGAGGGAGACCAGAACCAAGGGACTCACAGACATGCTGCTCTGCTCTACCTCAGTCATGATGGGATTGGAATTCTGCAAGCTGCCCACTGGATATGGCTCCTAGAACCTTGGCCCTCCAACCATGGGCTGAATAAACCTCGATTTTTATAAATCACCCCGTTTCCAACATCAGCTGTTAGCAACGCAATAGCAGATTAAGACACTAGGCTTTGCTGATTCTGTCGGTCCAGAATTAGTGCTAAATCATCAAGCAAAGGCTTGACCAGAGGAACTCTGCCCAATAGCCCAAGATTCCTTACAAGGGCCTGTGTTCACACCAGTGGCTAACGATCACCGATGTTTTCCAGGTAGATGTGACTGATGCCTTATACATGATGCAGCAAGCCATCATTTCCCCCAGGGACTCAATATTAAGTGATTCATTTCTCATAACTGGGAGGGGATGAAAAATGAAAGCTGGGAACACTTATAGGCAGAAATCTTTGAAGTAAATTCTCTTATGTTACTGAAACACAAGGCGGGAAGAGAAAAGCATGGTCAAAATGTATTTTTGGCATGCAGAGTGTGAGACTCTGATACCGCTAGTTACAAGAGCAATGTGGGCAGGGTACAAAGTCCAATTGACCCCATGGTATTTCCCATAATTCCCTTTGCTACCACTTGTGGCACCTGGTGATTGTCATTAGAAATAGAAACAGAAGTGTCTGTTTGGGACTGTGGTTTTGCTGCCATGAGAGTGGACTAATCATCATGCTAGGACCCACACAGGGTTCCCCATCCCAGGTGCTCATAGCCTGTACTTACAGGACAGTGACAGAGAGACAGGTAGGCCTCCGACACTGGCCTTTCATCCCAGATGTCATGGAAGACTCCCTTCCCTGGGAGCATCAAATGGCAGTTAGAAGCTGCTGCCCAGAAGAATCAGAAATGGCTCTGAAGTATTACCCAAGCACTTGCCATAACTCAAAAGGTGTTAGCTGCTATTTTCTAAGCAATTTAAACAACTTTCTGGCAAAATGGCAAAAGAAAAAAAAAAAAACACAAAACTTTAAGCTGGGTCCACTCACACACTACTAATCTCAAAGGAGATGAAGGAGCCCATAGCTCCCTCATCTTTGCCCCTGGAAAAAGGAAATTTTCTTGGAGAGCAATTATATTCATTATAGACCCATCATCAAAAAGGAACCCATTTCTACAATCCATTATATATTAAACACTTGCAAAATGAAAGATTCAGGACTAAGAGCCAGGCCTGCCATCATTTAAGAATTAAGTAAACTCTCTAATGGTGGTCCAGTAATTGGGTCAAACATGTTCATTTTCAAGACATTGAGCCTGTATATATCGGTAATATCTAAGAACGCTATTTGTAAATCATCTGTGGGAGCCAGTTCAAAATTAAATAAGCTCAATAAGATATAAAAATTATTTTTAAATATGGTGAATCATGGTCATCTCAATTTTCCCATTAAAAGGATCTATCTGACTATTTAGAGTAACAAAAAATATTTTTATAATTTAGAGCATTTAGCTAAATAAGAAAATTGTTTTTACTCTAAATGGTTACTTGGACAACTATATTGAGATTAGATAAACTTTGTATCCATACAGAGGACTATTATACAGTCAGAAAAAGGGATGAAGCACTGACACATGCTGCAACATGAATGAACCTTCAAAACATGTTAAATGAGGGACCAGCAGTTAGCATAATGGCTATATCGCTGGACTCCCACGTAGTCGACTATGGTTTGAGTCCTGGACCTGGTGGCTTAAACTCACGCCGGGCACATGTATATGCGTGCCCAAGATCCTGAGAGGAGAATGGAAGAGAAGGGATTGTGGCATGGCCATCCCCCCAGGGGGTGACTTCTCGCTTTCTATCTCTCTGTCTCTGTCTGTTTGGCGAGCACACGTGTCCTATAGCAAAAAAAAAAAAAAAAAACCTCTCAAAAAAAAATGCTAAATGAAAGAAGTCAGACACATACTGTATGATGCCATTTACGTAAGATGCCTAGAATTGGTCAATCCAGAGAGCCAGAGATTAATCAGTCATTGTCCAGGAACAGGGAAGAAGAGGACAGTGACTTCTTAATGGACATAGCATCTCTTTTGGACTGATGAAAAGTTCTTAACTAAACAGTGGTAAGGGCACAGAACACTATGGATGTACTTAATGCCACTGACTTGCGTGCTTTAAAATAGTCAAAACGTTAAATTCTGCCTTATATGTATTTTACCACAATTAAAAGGAACATGAATCGGGCCTAAGTGCTCTACTGTGGAACACTCTGGCCAATACAAGTTTATTGTCCCTCCACTCTGGGCCAGCAGACCCAGTTAGGGGTAGGGGATAACACGAGCCCCCTCTTCATGAGGTTCTCAGAAAGCTTGTCCCATCCGATGGAGGGGTGGCAGAGCCAATATCTTCCAACAGCTGTACAATTAAAACCATCCATGTCGGGACCAGCAGTTAGCGTAATGGCTGTCGCTGGACTCCCATGTAGTCGACCACGGTTCGCGTCCCGGACCCAGTGGCTTAAAACTCACGCCAGGCACGTGTGTGTGTGTGTGCCCAAGATCCCAAGAGGAGAATGGAGGAAAAGGGATTACGGTGTGGCCATCCCCCCCAGGGGGTGATTTCTCGCCTTCTATCTCTCTGTCTCTCTCTGTCTGCCTGGCGAGCGCACGCGCCCTATAGCAAAAACCTCTCCCCCCAAAAAAACAAAAAACAAAAACAAAAAAAACCCACCCATGTCCAGGGGCCAGCAGGTGGCATGGTGGTTAACCCATGTCATGGGGCCAGCAGGTGGCATGGTGGTTAAGGTGCTGGACTCCCACATGGCCAAATGCAGTTTGAGTCCCAGGCCTGGCAGCTTGCTTTCTCACTTTCCCCTTCTCTCACTCTCTCTCTCTCTGTCTCTTTGGTCAAATTAAAAAATAAATAATAACAAATAAAATTAAATAAATAATTTTGAAAATATGTATAAAAGCATCCATGTCTTTACTGCCTTTCCAAAGCTCACCCTTGCATGCTTCATATAGATGAATCTCTGCATTATTCATGTGTTTGATCTACTAGGAGGAAGTCAGGGTCAAACAGGCAAACTGCCTCTGTCAGCAGTTTCAGCCCTAAGAGATGGATGGGCGCAGAGTAGCCTCCAAACGCAGAGCCCGTCCGCGATGAAATGCACCGGCCTCGTGTCATACATGCAAGGGTGAGGTGCAGAACCTCGATGCTGTCTGCTAGGATAATTCACACCCAGGTGCTTCTCGTTTTCAAGAACTCTCTTTACCTGAAACGGAGTCTGGCTGTTGTAGTTTTTCAGTTCCTTATTTCCACCTCGAAACAGCAGCACTCTTGCACAGCTGTCCTGCAAACGGAAAAGAATCTGTTTGTAACTCGGTGGCATGGACATGCTACAAAGAAATCTGCTCAGAGGCTCGAGCTCACAAAAAAACATCAGAGAAACGCCAGCTTTAAAACGAGGGCACATTTCATTCACCAGAGTTGCAAGGGTGAGAGCAAACAGGCTCCTGCTTGCTATTGTTGAGGCTAAATTGCTGCAAATATTGTGGAAAACCGCTTAGCAGCATTTATAAAAAAGGAAAATACGTATACTCCAAGACCAAACGAGTCCACTTTTTAAGGCTGTATTCAACAGAAAGTCTTGCACACGTGTATAACATATTGAATTGCTGGAAAAGTCATGATGCATGTTTTGCATACAAAAACATAGAAAAAATATGTCATGACTTCTTCTAACAATTCATTTAACAATAAGTAAAATACCACAAAGTGAAATGCACAGAGAAAGAAAGAGAAAATCTGGAGACAGCATAAAAGTTCTAAAATAGGGAAAGTAGGGGCCAGCAGGTAGCATGGTGGTTAAGCACCAAACTCCCACATGGCTGACTCTGGTTCGAATCCTGGACCTGGTGGCTTGAAATTCACACCAAGTGTGTGTGCGTGAGTGCCCAAAATCTTGAGAGAAGAATGAAAGAGAAGAAACTGCTGCAAGGCCATTCCCCTGGGGGGTGATTTCTTACTTTCCCTCTTTCTGTATCTGTCTGTCTGTCTCTTTGTTGAGCATACCTGCCCTATGGTGAAAAACAAAAGAAAACAAAAAAATCCTAACTAAAAATAAATAGATAAATAAATCAATAAAATGGGGGAAGTGGTGATGTATTCTAGAGCATTGTTCCCCTGGGTAGTTGGAAGTATATCCAAGAACTTCTAAGAAGAAAAGGCAAGTCTTGGAACAATGATATGGCTTAATTCCATTTACACTTTAAGAAAATTTAAGTCCACATCGTAGAGAAGCAAAGATTATGTGTGGAAGGATATGCAGTTAATGGTATTTACTTTTGTAGGAAGGAAAAAGGATTTAAGGAGAGCACAGCATAATGTTTATAAAAAGCAGGCAGTATTAATTTCTTTTCTTTCTTTTTTTTTTTTTTTGGATTTTTGCTATAGGGCATATATGTTCAAGAGAGACAGAGAGACAAAATGAGAAACTATTCCCCCCCCCCCCCGGGAGGATGGCCATATCACAGTCCCCTTTTTCCCATCTTCTCTCGGGACTTTGAGCATGTGTGCACACATGGCTTGTATGATTTTTCAAGTCACTGGGTCCAGGACTCAAACCATGGAGTCAGCCACGTGGGATCCAGCCACTTTAATCACCCTATCACCTGCTGGCCACAATTTTCATTTCTTACGTATCCTTACAATGAGTGTAAGTATGTCCCTGTGCATTGATTAAGTGTCTACCGTTTGCCCATGGGGACTGACAGGACTCCTTGCCAACTCCTTAAAAGCTCCCACTCAGGCGTGCAGGGGCAAATACCTACAATCAAAAGGCAGGAGTAGAATTTAGATGAGGAAACCCTGGCCATGAGAAAGGTCTTAACTAACAAACGCAGGTGCCTACTTAGAACCTGGCCATGGCGCCTTTGGAAGAGCCTTTCAATGACCAAGTGCAGGCTGCTGCCCATGCGTCACGCAGCAGGACGGCTGCTGGAGCACCTTCTCCTCCAGCTCTCTGGGCTGATGGCCCCACGGCAAGTCACAGTCAAGCCCTGCCGGGGGTGAATTGCAGCTAGTCTGCGTTGACCCGCAGTACAGCACAGACAACAGGCAGGTCACCCACACTCCGGCCCCCATGGAGACATGCTGTAGGAAGGAACAAACAAAACGCCCAGGCAAGGATTCCCACTCAAGCACCTGCTGGAAACGAGAGTTCAGAGACTGTACCTGACACTAGCCCTGGGCTGGGGCAAGGTCAGGGCCGAGGTGAGCGGACGCTGGACCAACTGCAGGACCTAGAAGAACTGCAGATTTCAAGACAAAGCCAAAGTCTACAGAAACTGAAGTAGACAAGTGGTGGCCCAGGGCTGAAGAGAGTGACTGCTCATGGTTACGGGCTTTCCACCAGGGTGGGGCAGAGGGGATGAAAATGGTGGTGACAGATGCACAGCTCATCAAATGGACCAAGAGTCACTGAACTGTATGCCTTAGAGGCGTGGGCTACGTGGCATATAAAGTATATTCTGAGGTAAGTGTTACTTACGTATTTTAAAAATAGATCAATCAGGGCTGGCCCCATAGCCTAGTGGTTAAGGAAGCTGGATCCCACATGACAATCACAATTCAAGGTCTGGCAACTTGGAAAACATTGGGCATGTGTGCATGCATGCCCCAAATCCATTCCAACAGGCTGGAGACATGGAGGAGAAAGGATTGCAGCATGACCATGTCCTGTTGGAGAAAGCCCTTCCCCACCCCTCCGGCAATTAAAAACAAAACGTATGTGTTCCATGACTATGAAGCAGGGCATGGCAACAGCACAAAGGGACAGTGGGTCCTGGGAGCTGGCTGAGGCTACTCCAGTTCCTGTGGCCCGCACTCGGCATGCTGATACTGATGAGGAAACCACCTGTGGACGGAGCAAATAGAAGCCCGTGGTAGGAGGACTCTGTCCTATTAACTCATGGTTTTTTTTTTTTTTTGGAGAGATTTTCACTGTAGGGCGCGTGCGCTCGCCAGACAGACAGAGAGAGACAGAGAGACAGAAAGCGAGAAATCACCCCCCAGGGGGGATGGTCATGCCGCAATCCCTTCTCCTCCATTCTCCTCTCGGGATCTTGGGCACGCACGCACACGCGCCCGGCATGAGTTTTAAGCCACCGGGTCCGGGACACGAACCGCGGTCGACTACATGGGAGTCCAGTGACATAGCCATTACGCTAACTGCTGGTTCCCCTATTAACTCATGTTTGAGGACGGCATCTGAGCGGGGGTCAGTCACTTATAAAACAATAGACACGAGATGGGAGCAGACTGAAGTTCTGTGGACAAGATCAACTGGTCTCCGTGTTCTCAAGCTGTACCACCCACAGCTGCTCTCATGCCTGGCTTTGCCACCATCTGTGTGAAAAGACCCCGCGTGCATGGGGCCTCGGCCCCATGTGACGCTACCTTTATGTAGACGGGCTCTGGCGGGGCTGCCATGAAACGCACAAAGCTGAGCACGAGGAGTGACTTGGGCTGAATGCCAGGCTGTGCTGAGAGTTCTACCCCGCAAACCCCACAGGAAGGACAGACTGGCTAGAGGGGACTTCCCATGCCTCTGTACCCTAATTCTAACAAGAAGCAAACCACAAAGGTTTTCCCCTCCCCTGGGGCACTGGTTGTCAGCCAGAGGCAACTTTGCCCCCTACCCCCGGGACCATCTGGAGACATTTTTTACTGTGGTGATCAGGAGTGCTATGGCTCTTAGCAAGTTAGGGTCAGGGATGTCGCAAAACATCTTATAATTCACGACAGCCCCAGTGTCATTAGTGCTGAGGGGGATAAAACCTGCCTTCGTCCAAGGCTGGAACTCAGGGAGTGTCCAGTAAGATTTGTGGAAGATGGCCACCTGCTCTCTGGGGAGGCAGGGAGGATGGAGGCTGCCCTCTGAGGACACTCACCACAGGGTGGAGAGGGGGCCTAGGGACCATGATGTGTCCATAAAGGAGGGGCCGAGGTGTGCAGAGCCTTCAGACTGTGCTCACAGGGCAGTAGCTCAGGACAGCAGGACACCTAGGTGCGAGAGCACAAGGACACTCGGAGATGAAGGGTTCAGTGAGAAAAGTGAGCAGGAGCCTGGGTGCCAAGAGCCCCAACGCCAGGACCCCCACTGTCTACAGAGCAGGGAGTGTGCAGGCATGTGTGACACTCAGATGGCATGGAGGCCAGATGACCTGGGAGTGGGAGCCTCTGGAGAAACGCAAATGGGACTCATAAATTTACCCTGGGATTTCTACACTCTGCCAAGTATCGCCATGCGTTCACCTGATGCTTTGAATACGTTTGAATGATGTTGAGAAAGTGAAAACGATGTAACTGTGTTCAGCAAATAAACCTTTCACATCTTGGGTACAATGAAATCTAGAAGCTATGGGAAGAAGAGAGAGAAATGAAGGAGAGAAAGTTTGAGACTACTAAGGCAGTGACGAGAAGAAAGGAGGAGAGGAACTTCTGCAGGTCCTCACCAGGAGTGGCAGGGGAGTGGGAAGAGGCCAGCGAGGGAGTGGGGATCCTCCGAGACACCTACATGGGGGTCCCGCCCTGAGCTGAATTTGCACTGGGTTCTCACTGGGCCCTGGCCCAGCAGCCTGGGAGAACCACCTGACAGCTCTCAGAGCACTGAGAGCAAGCCAACCAACCAGAAGTCAGGAAGCAAGGTTGCTGCTCAGAGAGCGCCAGGGACACCCCTCCCCTGACTTCTGCAATTTCTCTTAAATGCTCATTTCTTGACAAGAATTTTCCCTGCACATTCCCTATAAGAAAGGCTGATTATTTCCTATAAATGAACAAGAATAAATTCTCAGCAGACGCAGACATTCAGACCTGCCCAGGCAGAATCAGGCAGGATCCTAGGAATATCTTCCCCTCACCCAAGCAAGGGCTTGCGGTTACTGAGTCAGTATTAACTGACCCCCTAGATACACAATCCGTCACTTGAATGATGAGCTGACTTCACAGCAAAGTCAGGGGAGTTACTGTAAAATTGGAGGGCCAATAGTTCACGTGCTTAGTAACAACTTAATTTTACATGTATGTACATGCTCGCACATGTGTCTGGGTGCATATGTACCTGTGTGTGAGTACACATGTACTTTGCAGTTCAAAAAAAAAATATGTCCACCTGTTCCCTCTGATTCAACCATTACAGTATCCTGGCTCAAAAATAACAGAAGGCCCATTTCACAGACAAGGAAGTGAAGGCCTTGAAAAGTTAAGGGAAAAACTGACAATTTATGACTTTAGAAAGGAAGAACAGGAAACCTTGGAATTCAGAGGATTGCTAGCAGGGAGCTTTGCTTC